AAATTATTTCCAAATTTATCCAACTTTAAAGGGAAAGACATTAAACATATGGTTTATCACTAATAAAATTGAACGAAGTAGAAGATTTAAAATTATCCCCAAAATTATTAACCAATTCAAAATATTGCTGATAATGAATTCAATAATTTTGGACTGAATTCTGAGTCGAAAAAAACAAGCAATTAAGGATCTTTTGAGATTTAAAATAAAGAGGAAATTAAAAGGAAAATTATTTAAAAGTGAACAAATTTATCCTAACTGTTGCAAAACTTGAGGAAAGACATTATGCTTTTTACAGAAGGGAGCAACACTTTTTCCCCAGGTGACAGCTAATAGGGCAGCAATTGAACAAACTACGGCCCGGCGGACCTTTTTGAAGCTATTTAAAGATTTGAAAATTTATTTTTGAGGAAAATATTATTAAGAATTCCTTTTAATTGCTGATAATGAATGCGCAATACGTCGAGGGGGACAGATTTAGGAGACTGAATTCTGAACAGCGCGGGAACACGGCGAGAAAAGCAAAGGCATTACAGGGGGGATCTTTTTGAATTAATAGTCTTTACTAGAACTATAAGGATGATTACTATATAGAGGATGAAGACTATAAAAGGAAAAGTAAAAAAATGTGGCTCTCCAAAATAAATATCGTGGTTTTGGCGAATGCTCAGAAAAGGTTGCCCACCACTAGCACTAGATTGAAAGTTTCCTCAAAAAGAATGCCTAAATATCAGTGAAAATAAATGGCTTAGCCTCTTTTTGGACTTAGTCCATGATGACTTACGCAAGATTGATTGGTTTAAAAGAACTCAGATAATTTAACTAAAGAGGAAAGGAAAGCATTGGATGAATTGCAAAGAGCGAAAGGGATAGTGATCAAAAGAAGTGATAAAGGTGGAAATGTGGTTCTCATGCAAAGTGAGGATTATGAAAGAGAAATTAAGAGGCAATTAAAAGATACGAAAACATATCATCATTTGCATGAAAACCCATTCCTTAAAATAGTAAATATTCTGAATAGAAAGATAATTTGGGCCTATGAAGCAAATATTTTAACTAGACAAGAGTATGATATGCTCAATATTGATATTTACAATATTCCTACATTTTATGTGATTCCAAAAATACATAAAAATCCATCCCAACCACCAGGGCATCCTATAGTGTCAGCAGTAAAGGGCCCATTAGAAACAATTGGTACATTTATAGATGATCTTATTAAGGATTTAGTAACTGGACTATAATCATATGTTAAAGATACAAGGGATGTTTTATTTAAAATTGAAGATATTAGAGTCCCTGAAGGGACACTATTAGTTGGTATAGATGTAGAATCCCTATACACCTCAATCCCCCACATTTGGGGATTGAGAGCAGTAGCTTATTTTTTGGAAGCACAATTTCCAGAAATGGGAGCACAAAATTAACTGATCCTTGATCTTCTAAAATTTTTACTAACACATAATTGTTTCCAATTTCTGGGTATATTTTATCAACAAATTTGTGGCACATCAATGGGAGCCCCTTTGGCCCCAGCTTATGCCTGTCTCTATTTAGGATTATTGGAGAATGATGTAGTATATACATCACCCATGTTTAATAAACATGTTGTAAAATGGCCAAGATATATTGATAATGTTCTGGTGGTTTGGGATGGAGAGATTGAACAATTAAAAAGTTTTCTGACTAATCTGAACCAAAATGATAGAAACATAAAATTAACGTATATCTTTGATAATAAGGACATTTCGTTTTTGGATTTATCCATTTCTATCCATGAGAATATTTTGACAAAAAAGACATTTAGAAAAGAAACAGCAGCAAATACACTTTTACATGCTACTAGCCATCACCCTGAGACATTGATACAAGGTATACCTATTGGTCAATTTCTGAGGATTAAAAGAAATTGTTTGGATGAAATTCAATTTAAAAATGAAGCAATTCAACTTTATGAAAGATTTAGAGAAAGAGGTTATTCTCATAGAACTTTGAGAAGAGCAAAACGGAAGGCCTCATATAAAGCTAGAAAGAGATTTGATCACTAATGTTAATTTAAATAAAATTGATAATAAATCACAGAATTAACCAATGAGGTTTATAACTAAATTTGGACAACAATGGCATGATGTTAAAAAAGTTTTAAATTCTCATTGGCATTTATTAACTATGAATCCAGGGATAGCTCAAATTGTAGGAGATAAACCACAAAAGGTTGCAAAAAGAACTTCCAGTTTGAATGACATGCTGGTTCTATCAGGTCCCTAGTGAAAATTGGTTAACTAAAATGAATAAAGTTACAGGAATGTACCCTTGTGGCCATTGTCAGATCTGTCCTCATGTACATAGAACAAATCAATTTCATAATATTGATGAATCCCAAACCTTTAAAATTAGACATTTTATAAATTGCTCCAGTAGTAAAGTGGTTTATATGATAGAATGTCCATGTAAAAAAGTCTATATGGGAAAAACCAAAAGACCATTAAAAGTACGAATTGGAGAACATTTAAGAGATATTAGAAATGAAAATAGAAATAAAAATGAAAAGGAAAAAGAGAATCCATTGGCCCAACACTTTAAAGATATACATCATGGAAAAACTGAGGGTTTAAAACTAAAGAGAATTTTCCTCTTGAACATTTCATCAAGGAGAGGAGATTTTGATCAAATACTGTTACAAAAAAAAAAGTTTTGGATATATACACTAGGTACTTCACATGGATTAAATACTGAATTAAATTTTAAAGTATTTTTGAATTAAATCTTTAATGGGTTATTCCAAATAAGATTTGATAAAAATATTATATTTTGTGGAAAATTGATAATTATAAATACAATTTAATGTATTTATATTGTTATCTGATGGTATTAAATAAAGAAGAACATTATCTGAAATGTATTTTAAATTTTTGGCCATTTATCTGATGTTCTTTTTTAATTATATGCTTTTTTATTTAATTTTGGACTGACAATGTCGTGATGACATTTCAACACAAGAGGATGACATAAGGACAAAAGGATGCAATTAATGCACTATAAAAAGCAATGGATGAGTTGTCCCCTTACAGTTCTGACGAAGTCCCTGATGATTGCCGGACGAAACGCGTCAACGTAGTTATAACAATCAATAAGTGTAGCGCTCTATACAGAAACTAAATCTCAACATAAAAAATGTGACATAATGGTGGAACAAACAGTGAATCCTAATAATATAAATGAATGCTACAATCGTGCAATATCACACAATATTGTGCATATGGTGGAAATAACTGATATTAAGCCCCCTAATACAGGGGATATACCCTATAAAACAAGTGCTCAGTGTCAACACAGTCTATTCATAACCATAAAATAAACCGCTGAAATCAGAAAAAAATATATGTATATATGCAGCAAGTGAATATATATGCAACAAGTGAATATAAATTAACACATCACTCAAAATTATATCTTATATAACAAAAACGTGCCACCAGTGTCCACATCAATGAATGCAAACATGCAGGTGAATCTTGTGCTTTTGTAGGCTCTGGTGATGACTCCGCACACAGCTAGATTGGCTCCTCACCTCCTTGCTGCGACCCTAAAAGGGCCTAAATGCCTTATGGATCACTCCTGGATCCCCCTGGATTAAAGTGTATCCTCAAGGAATATCCTAAATGGCTCTTATCCAGAGAAAACAGCTCCCACATGGCCCACAAAGAGAAAAGCCTCCATAGTGTATTACCATTTATTAGCACAGTAATTAAAATATATACACAGGACACTCACATAGTACATCTTCTTGTATACAGCATTTAGAACCTCATGTATGGGTGTACTTGCATGGGTTCTATAGGGAGTCCAAAGATGGCGTCCGTGCCGGAAATGACATCACCTACGCATTGCGTCACCGCTCACGTGACTTCCTCAGGGTAACATCATTGGTCAACCATGCTTCCTTATATGGGGAAACTCCCTGACCAATCAAATCAATGGGCGGACTTACGGTGGCCATTTTCCTGTAGACCGCAATATATATATGATACTATCACTGTTTTGGCGGCAATTTTCCTGTCGACCGTAGATAGTATATACACCTACCGCTGTAACAACCACTCTGCTTGATCAACTATAAATTATACATGAACATACATAGCATCAAGCAAATCTAAACTACCAAATCCTACTTGCAGCCTGTGAAGACAAATAAAAACCAAATATACCTACTTATTTATGAAAACATCTAAATGTTAATACAAATGATACAACAAGCGGTGGCCATATTATAGTAGCCTGCATGTATAAAGATATTAATACAAAACACAACAAATATAAAACTTAAAAACAAAGTTGAATATATACCCCAGGACCTATAAACCCTATTAGTTTTAATGATATGCTCTAAATAAAAACTAAACGTAGTGACATAATCACGCTCCGCGTCCCTCCATGCTGCGGTATCCACGAGGGGAGAGAAGCAAGTGATGCATCTCCATCTTGGATAAACATGAGGCAAGACGAAAAACCACTTTGCAATTACTCCCGAGAGTTTTTTGGAAATCTTAAGTGGCTTAGTTCACTTCCACCGGTGGCAAGTACCTATTGAATTAAGCCGAGTCACATTTTACCAAGATTTTTGATACGGGATTGTTATATTTTATGTTGCAATTGGGTATTCAGTGCTCTCTCTGAGAGAAATTTTTGGCCTATTTAGGTGAATTAAGAATTATCTCATCAGTATATTTACGATATACGGGACATCTGCCCCATGAATTCCTAAAGGAACTGCACTTGCTCTCATTATAGAGGAGTTTTTGGAACCCATAATTGGGCACACTTTAAGGAAGCTTGAGTGCTTGAATGCATAATAAGAGACTTTCATATTCAAACTACAATTTGTGGACTTTAAGGAGAAGTTATCTCTTGATTCTACCGCTACATGCATTCTTATGCCAATTTTTTCATCAGTGGGAAACCCTGGTTTCTATTATGGTAATGACATTTTATTCATCCAGCATATTGATATATTTCAATCATCACTTTATTAATTTATTTTATTTATTGTAGAAGCCTTGCCACTGTAATTTTTTGGATACTGGCCCATTGATATTGGCCATATACTGGGGAACCACGGTCTATCACTTACATGATGTTGTACATCCACAAAGAAGGTAATAAGATGCAGTTTTGTTAATTTTATTGATCTCTACTCAAGCATCCATTTAGTTAAAGGTTTAATTACAGTGACATAGCCTATATTCATATCTTCATGCATTCATTGTAAATTATTCATTCAATATCCAGGAAGTTTATTTCACATACCCTGACTACTCTAAATAAGGAACTGATAAGGAAGAATTGTACTTATATCTGGATTCTTTAAATGAACTTTTCATCTGATGAACACAGAAGAAGTCTTTGTCTCCTTTATCTGATTTACTACCACGCATGCAGCTAAGTGGAAGACGCAGAACTTTTTTTGTTTTTGTTTGTATTTTTTTTATTTTATTCTTATGATTGCACACTGTTCACCATGATAAATGTCTACCTTTTTCACAATCTATGTGATCTAATAAATACAAATTTGCATTCACTAACTTAGTGATTATTACCCCGCATAAGATTTATTAAAAACCACTTTCTGGCAGGTCTGCACTAGTTAGCTGCATTTTGTTTTCAGGGACCACTGCCTCCCACCTAGTCCTACACACTTACAGGAGTTTACTAGTTTTGCGGAAAAGAGACCTATATATATATATATATATATAGTGGATAAGGACTTAGATAACTCACTGTCCCACAGTAATGACTTCAGATTCGATGGGGAAAGGGAAAACCCAGAGGATCCAAATTGCGCTTGATAAGCATGCCGCAATTGGAGATATCTGAAAAACTGCTTATTAGGAAGGTGATACAAGGCCTTTAACTCATCAAATGTTCTCAAATATCCAGTATGTATAATATCCCCTAATAATGTAACTGTTTATTGATACCATTAAATCTAAGGGTTTAGTTTCGGTTTATGGTTTACTGTTGCTCAGGGGCTCTAGGCTTTAGCAAAATGGCAGCCTCCAGCAAGAAGAAACGGGAGCAATGCTGGAGGCAATTTACAGAACACACTAATTTTAGTAGCATAATTATTAATGTAGAATATGTTCCTTGCTAAAGAATATTATTTTTTATTAAGTTGCTTTGGGTAAAGTTCCTTTTTATTAAGTTGCTATGGGTAAAGTTCCTTTTTATTAAGTTGCTATGGGTTAAGCTTCCAGGGTGTGTAGGGCCTCCGCTGGGAAACAGACAAAAAAAAATATGACATTGGCCTTAATTCTCTATTCTATCCAAAAGTACACAAAAATGTTTTGGTATTGCATACACTTTGAGTGTTATTTGTAAGCCTTAGGTTATTTTAGAGATAAGTTCTTGAGGGGTTTAGTTGTGAAAGAGTATTGTAAAAAGATATCCAGTGGAAGCTCCAATATTACTGTCGTGACAGATAACTGGCAAGTTCCCCAGGATGCTTGTAACAGCCTACAACATGAGTGCCTTCAAAAACTGTACATGTACATAAGTGAATTGCTGTACACCAAACACTGAGGGTAGGTGCACACCATGACAGCACATGAATCGCACAAAAACACTCTGTGTGTTCCTGTGCCATTCAGACCACATGCCAAATACACTTCTTTTGCAATCTGCTGCGGGTGTCAGTAGAAAGGTAACAACACCCCAAACGCAGGTCGCAAAGGCAGTGCATTTGCCTGCACCTTCCAGCACTGGATCGCATCGTATTTTTGTATCATGCAATTCGGTTACAGTGCATTTTAAAAAGTAGTGCATGCAATACTTTTGGTGCAGAGCGGTGCGATTTTAGCCCATTCAAAATGAGTGAACTCAAATGACACCACACAAAACTGCACGTGAATCACATGAGTTCCTGTGCGATTCATGTGTGGGCATGGTGTGAACTGGCGCTCATTTAATTTCTTTTTTTGTGATTTACTGATCTTTCTAGGAAGTTTGTTAAATTAATAAAAATATTCATTGCATTATTTTTTTAAAGCAAACTGTTTTACAGCAAATATCACACACATACTCAGTATTACTGGAAAGAATATGGGGAGAATATCATTAGAAGAAACCATATCAGACTTTTTGGTAAGACTACAGAAGAAATTACGTCAGTACTATTTTTACAGTGTGACCCCAGCTTAAGTGTTACATGCTGGTTTCCACAATAATAAAGATTCAATGACATAAAAGAGGTGTCAAATTTTCTTTAACATTTGGATGCCAGTAAGAGGCCAGTGATCCTGGCACTACTATAGAAATGACCACATATACAGTATAGTGTAAGAACCAGCTTCAAATGGTAGAGCATTAGGGACGCAGCCACTCGCCTAATTCTTCTTTTTTTAAATTACATGCACATCAGCCCTCCTGATTACACTTGCAGTGCTGCTGCTCTGGCCTCAATCCTCAGGTCCTTGTCTGTCTCTTCCAGATAGTCTTCTTGCACACACTCAGTACATTCACCTAGCAGCTCCTTGCTATTCTGACTCGCTTCTGTCTCCTAAGTGGGGCCCTCTTGATTTCTGTGCAGAGACCTCCTCTGTCTGCCAGGATTGAGCCCAGAACTATAGTGTTGTCTCTAATAAAAGCTCTGCACATTCCTCTACAATTGGTGAGCTGGTTGCCTGCAAAACTTGATCCCAGAATTGGGGACTTAATCCCTCACATGTCTCTACAAAATCTCTGGACTCCAGGTTCCAAACCAGGTTTAAAACAAACACAAGAAGAAAGCATACCAGCCTAGTGCGTTACCATAAGACTTTAATGAATAAAAAGAAGAATGCCAAACTACTCACAAAAAGGTCAGTTGCATGTATCAGTTCAACAAGCCATCGGAGGCACGTCCAGCCACCAGGGCACAGTTTATGAGTTTCGAGAGTGAGACCCTCTTCTTCAGAGCTACAAACCAGGTTTTAATAACCACTGATGAAACTAAAACAGTTTCTCCCAATGGGCCGCGCACCCTGGAGCCCTTCAACCTGCCTGTATGAGGACTATACTGTTACAGTAGGTATAATCTGGTATATCACAATCACCTGCAGATACAAATATTTATGATATGAAATAAAGCCATATGGACACTTTCAGTATGAGATGCTTTAAGAAATTGTGGATAAGCAATGAATTATTGGCTGGCAAATTATAAATATTTTCACATCGCATCTCACTTTTTTCAACCAAGATTCCAAGACATTGTATCTGTACACCAAGTAACTCTATGAATAACTGCTAGTATACATGAGGTGATTGTAGCCGTATTAGTGCACTTGCAACAGAAACAACTGAGTACTATCCGTGATACCTTTTTTATTTGCACTAACATACAATTTTCAGGACAAGCTTTCAGGGTATGCCCCCTTCTTCAAGGTCCAAGCAGTACTCAAAAGTACTGCTTGGACCTTGAAGAAGGGGGCATATCCAGAAAGCTTGTCCTGAAAATTGTATGTTAGTACAAATAGAAAAAAGTATCATGGACAGTACTCAGTTGTTTCTGTTGCTAGTATGCATGAAACACGTGTAGATTTCATTTGCTTGCTCTACCTTGATTTTTTGGAATAAAAGGTATTTGTATTGAAAGTCTTCATAATGATGTTTGTTTGGTCTTTATATCCAGTACTGTATTTCTTTATTACACCAGAAGCACTACAGGTCTAAAAAATAGAGCACACAGGTAAATCCTCAACCTACCCAAGACACAAGGCTTCAACTATCTGACTTTATGACTTTCAACAAAAAATACACTCTGTAATAAGCAGATGCTAACTGGGGTTAATTTTTTTCTGCAGGTAGGAAGTGCAGCCTTACACTTTCCCTTCAGATGTCCACTTGTGCCAATGTCTTGTAGAAGAGGGTAATAAAACTGGAATCTTGAGTTTTGCTCCTTCAAAATGAACACCATAGCTGGCCTTAACTGTGCCATCGTCTGAGAGTACTGCTCCACCCCACAGGAAAGAAACTTTCAACTGGTTTCAATGTTATTTCACACATTTCCAAGTGTGATGACTTTAGCAAAGTAGGAAGAAAGGAAGGGAAGACAGTCCGAGACAAACCAGTTCCTGTCTTCTGGATAATGGCCCCTTTCTGGCATTATTGGTTTACTGCCTACAGTTAGAATTGTATTTATAACATAACACAAAGGAACCCCCTCTCTGCTCCAAAAACATTTTATTTTGGTTCTGGCTACAGCAGGGAAGCATACAAGTAAATTCTTCATTGCTGTTTGTTTCCCCATTGGGGAGATCTCCCCCCCTTAGCACAGAAAGTAATGGAAAATATGTCCAATGATGATTCAAACAACAACAAAACCCTTATGCAGAGTGGGGAAATAATACATCACTGTTGACATTTTAATTACTACAGTATCTTTCTGCCTTGGTAACCCCCACTCCCTCATCTTTTGTCCTAGTGTCACAGGGATACAACCAGGGGTGGACTGACCATTTGGAAACTCGGGCACTGCCCGTGGGCCCTGGGTCAGTAGGCAGCCCCATGAGATGCCCCTTGTACCTTTTTCATAGGCTTTTTTGAGTTTGGGCAAGGACACAGGGGTCCCATGACCCCCTATTGCCTGGGGGCCCCATGAGTTGTCAGTCCACCCCTGGATACAACATGAGGGAAAGTCATTTCCAAGTAGTCATACCAATAGCAGGCTGATAACAGTTCCAACCACTTAATTCAGAATTAGTTTTGGGCTTTTAGGACCTTTTATATTACCAGCCATAGGAATAGAGCTATTGCAGGTTACGTCTCTTAAAAGCAGTCGGCTTGGCTAAAAAGTTTGTTAAATTAAAACAAAGCAAGAGGCAAAGTTTAAAAAAAAAAGGGGGGGGGGGTGTACCATACTAAAATGTTGCATGTGGCACCATATAGCCTAAGGTGATCTCAAATGACTTTCTGGGTCTAAAATTCAACAATGTGGTTCCAGTATTGCCTTATTCTATTTCTAGATCTTTGGTCAGGTTTTGGATAAGCATTGTTGTCATATTAAACAAACACAGGTAATT